CAGCAACATCAGCCGAATCAGCAGCAAAAGCAGCGAGAGCTGCTCATAATACAGCAGCAGGAACAACGGCAACAGATTTTACAACAACAACAGTTCAGACAAAAAGAGCAGCTGCTATGGTGGCAGCATCAGACACAACAGGAAGAGGTAAAACGAGAACAACAGCTTAAGCATGAAGAGCAGCTGAAACAGCAACAGCTGCTTAAGCAGAATCAACGCCATGAACAGTTTTTGAGAGCACAGCAGCATCAGAAATTGAAGCTGTCTAAACCATGCAAACCACGAGTGCTCAAACGAATCGAACTCCACAACAGTCATAACCAAAAAATCTCCCGCCCAAGCACCCGAATGTTGAGTAAGCCATTCAAATTGAGCATTTCGGAGACAGAGTTGTCGCGACGTTTGCGCTGCTTCACCATCAAGCCGAATTTTCTGCGCGTCTATGGCTACCCAGTTGAGAGCGTGAAACACAAAGGAAAAGTGGAAATATTTAAAGGCCTGCCAGATTCTTCGCGCGCAAGCAATTCAAAATCAAAGATGGAATTGGTCAACTTTGGATTGCATTTACGTTCTTATTCTGCTAGCAGCACCGACTCCGGCCATGGTTCGAGCGCATCCAGTTCACCCAACGCCGACTCGGATTCGAGCGAAACCAGCGAGGATGAGCCAATTATCGCTACTGCCTATTTCACAGCCAGTGGCCGGAGTCAAGTCCTTCCACCGCGTGCACACTCATTGAGGAAACAATGTGTGCGCTGTCTGAACTTCTTTCATGTTACGGACGCTGGCACATATCTTAAACGCGAGAACTGCACCTTTCACTGGGGTAAAATCTATGAGTTTTATAACGACCGCGAGCGCCGCTACATCGAGCAGTATACCTGTTGTTTTGGTACTAAAGATGCGGCTGGTTGTACACGTCATCCGCAACATGTATGGACCGGTGTGGTAGCTGGCTTCAATGGCCCCTACAGCGACTTTGTTCATACGCGTTCGCATAGAGATGATAAAAGCGCAGCGACCAAAGTATACGCACTCGACTGCGAAATGTCCTTTACCGGTCGTGGACTCGAAGTGACAAAGGTAACGGTGATTAGCTATGACGGCCAGGTAGTTTATGAGCATTTCGTGCGACCTTTTACTCATATTGTCGACTATAATACGCGTTTCTCAGGCATCTCTGAGAAGGATCTCTGCAAGTTTTGGAATAACGACGTAAAGACATTGACCGAAGTGCAGCGTGACCTCTTAAATTTGTTCGATGCCGATACCATACTCATCGGTCATGGGCTGGAGAATGATTTACGTGTGTTGCGTATGGTGCACAAGACGGTGGTCGACACTTCTATCGTATTTCCGCACAGACTCGGATTTCCATATCGTCGTTCGCTGAAACACTTAACCAAATCATATTTAAAGCGCGATATTCAAGTTAGCGGTGATGGGCATGATAGTCTTGAGGACACGCGTGCCTGCCTGGAGTTGATGCTATGGAAGTTGGACAAGGAAATTCGTACGAAAGGATGCTGAGAATGGCATCGAAGCGAAGGCGTTGTCTTTTTAGTGTCCACTTTGTTCGACTTTGTGGTATTGCATTATCTTAATTGGTGCGCTGTCAGTCAGAGCATTGTGCCTTGTTGTTTTCGGTAATTTCTCTCCCTACTCTCTTTGTACATTAAACTGTGGAGAGTACTGTTTTCTTCGCTGCATTTCGAGTTATATGTATTCTTAGTTTTCTTGCTGTAAAGCAATGACCTATAGTCACTTAACGTCAGTTTTTCCACTCGATTCAAAGAGAGTACTCATTCGATGCCGTTTTTTGGGTTCTTGTGTGATTGGTTTGTGAGTGAATATGAGTAGTTTTTTTGTTAGTTGCGGTAAATTACGATTGTAGTTCGCCAGTTTCTAGCCTGGTTGCCGCTAATTAGAGAAATCCATTTTGGACTGATGTTCTTGCAAACAGCTGGCATGAACAATCCTCCGCCTTTTCTCTGAATCTTGCCTTTTTCACTTTTCTCGCGCTGTTAATCCGCTCTTAAGCAGTGCTTTATAGTTTTATATAATAAGCTCTCCATGTGTCGTGTTATTTGTTTATTTCTGGTTTAAATTTATTTAATAAGCAATAATATAACAACGAAACCATTTAAGATTAAGAGTTAAAACTAAACTTCATAATAGTAAGAATAAGAGCAAATATTGAGATGAGTTAAAAATATAAGGAAATGAAATAAAAACTCATAACTCATTAATATCAAGTCCTCACAAAACAAATGTTCAGTGTGAAGATACTAGTTAATTTCCATGGACTTTGAGGCACTGAATCTGAAGTCAGAAGTAAAAAGTTGGCTCGCTATTACTTTCTAACCAGAAAACAATTTTTATATTGATACATTAATAGTGTCAGAGTCTAATTTTGACTTCAGATTCGGGGCTATTTTCATTCCCCGGAAAAAATATGTATGCGTGGACTTTTGACGAAATAACTAAATTTTGAACTTTTAATTTTTGATGGTAAAATAAGTCTGTATTTATACTCAGACAAGAAGACTAAGACTAACTACAGAAGGGTTACAGGAAAACTCCAAGCTCGAGAAGAATTGTTTTGTCAAAAGCCCACAGGTAAGAACCTTGGTTAGGGTTCTAAGAAATCGACACCAATTAGCATGTGTATAATCAAAAAAATATATATCTGCATAACAATCAATACTAGAAAAGGTTTCCGCATTTGATTACACGTGCGACGGTAAGTTTTAGACAGACAAAATTTTATATAATCGCGAAACCATGAGCCAATCATAGTAAAACTGCGTTAAAGAGAAGATTCTGGAGAATTAAGGCCGATTAAATTTTTTGGGGCATAAGGACCTAATCGTCCTTTTAACGTGTTATCATTGAATATCCTTGAAATCTTACAATAATTATTTTCGAAAAATTATAATGTTAAGGACTAATATGTACACCACATCCTCGAATTTCATCCTTTTAATTTTATTCGCTTAAAAAAATGAAACTAATTAAAATAACATTTTCAATACCTATTCGTCCATGTGAACCAAACAAATTTTAATGGTTTTTAATTCTGCAGAATTTTCTATTTCATTTGGTACCCATACTGTTTTTCTACATTGGAATGAATTTTTTAAATAATTTTTGGAATTAATTATATCTTTGAAACTACAAAGTCCTTTAAAATAAATCCTAATGTCAGAGAGAAAAACTAAAAACGTAGTTTTACTATATTCGGCCATAGTTTTTTGTTTTTGTCGCACGGCGTTATAGGAAATAATATTTTATATAAAAAAATGTTTCGTTAATTTTTTATTAAAATACATTAAATCTAAAATATTAGTTTCAAACATTGTATTAAAATTTATAAAAAACTCGTCAAATTTTCAGCAAAATTTCTCAGTTTTTTGCAGAATTTTCAGAATTTGTTTGTGGTATAAAGTTTTATAGCCCTTAGTGCAAGATTGAGGTGCTAGGAAGTGCTGTTAATTTTTGTTAACCTTTTTTTGCTGACAAAAAATATCAAAAATCAACAGAATTTTTAGCACCTTTAAACTTACCCATTATTATACTAAAATTTAATACAAACAAAAAAAAAACAATAATTAGAAATTTTGCTGAAAATTTAACAATTTTTGTCTAACTTTTGGACGAGGTTTAAAACTTATGTATATTTATTATTGTTGGTGGAATGCAGGTATATAACCCATAGTAAAGATGCTAAGAATAAGAAGTACCGTAGATTTTTGATATTTTGCTCAAATTTGCACATTATTATACTATAGTTGAAAGAATTATGAAACTGTATACCATAATTTGACAAAAACTTAGAAGTATTGCTGAAAATTTTCGGTTTTGGACAAAATTGTTTTTATAGAAAATTTAAGTAATTTTGTTATGAAGAACATGAATACTGTAAGAAATCTCAGTACGGAAACTTTTTCTAGTAGGTGTATGCATACAAACAAACAAACAAAATTACGATGTAGAACTCTTTTGTATATATGTATGTACATTAGGGTGTGCCAAAAGTTACTTCTCGGTTTAAGCTCTCCTACTCTATAACTCCTTTATTATATGTAAACGATAATGATATGCAATTTATGCTATGCGCAATTTTTTAAATCATAATTTACTGAACGAACGTTTTTCAGTTTTTTGTTTGCCAGTACGCGTAACTTTAAGGTCTTTGGGACTGTTTCATTGACAATTATAGCTCAATTCTGTATTGGTGACAAAAATTTCTTTACTGGCAAAATTGCCACTGATACAAATTAGAGCCATTAACCTCTTTTAATAGCCATCGTTGCTTATCGTGCGAAAACTGTTGCATTCTGAAATTCTGTGTATCACAAACACAAATAGTATTTTGTGACACACCCTAATATGCATTTTTTGTGTTTTTGGTGCAAAATAGATATTAAAACTATAAAAACGGCAACTAAAATGCCAAAAAACTTAAAAAAAAATTGTTAAAACTAAAAAAACAAACGAAGTTCGATAAAAATTCTGAAAAACATACATATGCATATACAAACATAAAGTTTTTGCACAAAATTTACTTCAGAGTTATTTCTAAAAAAGGAGGCTAAATCTAGACATATTTTTTAAGATACTGTTAAAACGTATTTCCAAAATGTTACTAAAAAGCTTTTAGTTGTGAGGACGAAGACATTTATATATTTGTAATTATAAATAAAAAAATACGCAAATATGTACGCCGTAAATATTTGTAAAAAAAAATAACTAAAAGTTTATCATAAAAGGTTAATTAAAAATAGCGCTGCAAATTTTTGAAACAAATATATATGTAACTAATTTACTGTTCCTAGATCTGAAAGCCATGTTTAGTTATAAAATTTTCCTCCCTTAAATGTACAAAGCAAAAACAGACAATTGTTGAATAATAATAAGTTTAAAACTAGCATTTATGTAAGTAAAAAATGAACCAAACATATGTGAGAGTATGTATAACAAAGAATAACACGACATAAATAGTTATAACAAAACAGCGAACAATGAGTCTAATGACTGCAAAAATAAAATTAATAATAATAATTTTGATACAGAAGTTACACATTCTTTTAATTTAATAAACAAAGTTGGTAACGGGCGTCGAAGAAATTTGTTTACACCAGTGAAGCAAAAAAGGTAGCGTTGGGCCTTCAAAGGTAACATTTTAGACCCTTTTTATTTTTTCGACCTGAAAACAGCATGTAATGATCTTAAATATATTTTTTGGTTTTTGGGACCATAAAAATGGATTCCTGAACCCAAGAACAGTAAGAATATGTACATATGTAGTTAATGCGAATGTTGAAAACTATTTGTTAAAAAGTTTACTGCATACTGTTTTAAAGTCAGAAAGGGAAAATATTTAAGCCCCCAATTTTCGGCTTAACTGCTCATTAGAGTCTGCTGCGTCTGCTCGCCAGGAGGTGCGGCTTCAAGCGGGCGTCTGCCTTCAAGCACACTGCTGGCTATATAGACCGATATCCGATTGAAAAACATTCACCCCAGCAATGGTTGTGCGCTAGGCTTGGGACCCTCCACGTACAAAATATATCCAATGAAAGTACTAAACCAGCCTCGGTTAACTGCATCCCCACACGTTGACGACCCCCACAAATGGAACAAGGACTACGATTTACGGATATGCACTTGGAATGTCCGGAGCCTCTATAGGGAAGGTCCAATTGCTGGAGGTCATAGACAAATACAAGGCTGACATCACCGCAGTACAGGAAATGCGATGGACGGGGCATTGCTGTAAAAAGCGGCGCACAAATTTGGTGTGGGGTTTGTAATTGGGCGGAGACTCCGACACCTTGTTCCAGGTTCGCTTCCATAAGTGAACAAATTGTCACAATCCGCATAAAGGCAAAATTTAACAAGATCAGCCTAATATGTGCGCACGCACCAACGGAGTAGAAGGACGATTATACCAAGGAGCATTTCTATGAGCGCCTAGGACAAGCATATGAGTGTTGCTCCCGCGACGATGTTAAAATCGTAGTTGGCGACTTTAATGCCAGGATGGGCGAAGAAGGCATATTTGGTTCAGAAGTCGCAAAATTAAGCCTTCATGACAACACCTCCGACAACGAAGAGATGCTGATCGACTTCGCCGCGGCAAGGAACATGGAAGTTAGTAGTAACAGTCACCAGCATCGAAACATCCACAAATCAACTTGGGTGTCCCTGATCAAAGAACGAAGAATCAAATCGATCATGTTGTGATAGATGGAGGATACGCTTCGACCGTTCTTGATGTGCGCTCTATCCGAGGCGCCAACATCGACTCGGATCACAAAAAGGAGGGAAGAGAGACGCCTTTTCAGGAGAAAGAAAAGTGGGTCAGGAAGGCGTGAGTGCGAAGAGCTTGAGTTGCTGGTAAGCAGAAATGCGGCTCGCAAATTCTAATAGAAAATGAGACAGTAATCAAATGGTTTTAAGACCGGGCTAGCTCCTCCAAATATGAAGATGGAAATCTGGTAACAGATGTCCAGAGTACACTTGAGATA